GGCAGGTTGATATGCATGTTCATGTGTGTATTGTACCCCCCAACCCCCCCCCCCAAAAAAAACAACCCGCTGTGTTTGTGACTGTAAATGTTGCAGGCCAAAGTGCAGAATACAAAACACTGGGAAACAGTGAGTGCCTCACTTTCCTCCGAGGAAGCCGCCTCTGCTTGCAGGGCTCGGCGTGGTGTGTGGGGAGAAGCGCTACACAAGGATATGACTTAGCAAGGATCAGGTTCCCCCATCGGCCCCAAATGGGTTCTGGGTCACTCTCTCTCTCTCTCTCTCTCAGCCTAGCCTACCTCACTGGGTTGTCGTGAAGATAAAAGGGAGGACAGGAGAACTATGAACTCCTTGGACAAAGGGAAGGTTGAAACATTCTCAGTTTGGTGTCTAATCTGGGAGAACTGGGTTTGATTCCCCACTCCTCCGCTTGCACCTGCTGGATGACCTTAGGCAAGCCATAGTTCTGGCAAGAGCTGTTCTTGAAAAAGGCAGTTTCTGTCAGAGCTCTCAGCCCCACCTACCTCACAGGGTGTCTGTTGTGGGGAGGGGAAGGGAAAGGAGTTTGTAAGCCGCTCTGAGACTCCTTTGGGTAGTGAAGGGTGGGGTATAAATCCAATCTCCTCCTCCTCCTCCTCTTCTTCTTCTTCAGTGCGCGGACTCTGATCTGGGAGCACCGGGTTTGATTCCCCACTCCTCCTCCACTTGCACCTGGCTGGGTGACCCTGGGCAAGCCGTAGTTCTGATAAGAGCTGTTCTTGAAAAAAGAGCCGTTCCTGTCAGAGCTCTCTCAGCCCTGCCTACCTCATGGGGTGTTTGTGGTGGGAAGGGGGAGGGAAAAGGAGTTTGTAAGCCGCTCTGAGACTCCATTTGGGTAGTGAAGGGTGGGGTAGAAATCCAATCTCCTCTCCTCCTCCTCAGTAGATAATCTGTTTCCTACCTTAGAACACCTTCTCTCAAAGCAGCAGTCTCAGAATATGAGTTTCAGAGGGCGGCTGTATTGGTCCTTTTTCTTGTAGAATCACAAAGAGTTGGATGGGGCCATGCAGGCCATCCAGTCCCACCCCCTGCTCAGTGCAAGATCAGCTGAGAGCATCCCTGACCAGTGTTTGTCCAGCCGCTGCTTCAAGACTGCCAGGGAGGAGGAGCTCACCACCTCCCCAGGCAGCCGATTCCACTGTGGCACAACCCTGACTCGGTAGAAGAGCTAGGTTGTGGTCACACGGTCATTTTGATCGGGTTTCACCGCTGTTCCCTTTCGCATTTAAAAGGGCTGATCAGACGGCCGCGTCTGTCTCT